CGTTTGAATCATCAGTGGCAAATTCTTTTAATATGAAAACATACTTACAGGCTGTGAGTCAGAAGCGCCAGACTGTCCTTGCAAAGTTGGAACTGCCCCACTTTATAGAAACAGTCTTTGTGTGTAGACGGCATTGTAGGCTACTTTCCCATGTCCTTCGTAAAATGCGCTGCACACATCTGAATATTTGGGTTGAACTGTTCTGGAACAGTGTTGTAAACAAAGTAGTTTCGCTTTCACAACGAAACACACAGTGTCTCCACGACATGGCGGCGGCAACAATACTACAGCGAGAGTAAAAGTTACACCTTCTTTCTTTGCGTGAACATTTGGGCGGTGTTATGCAAATCTTCCCACACAGTGACGTAGACATGTGGGGGTGTGTTTAAACGAGGCATTTTAGGAGGGCGTGGACAAGTCTGAACTTTTATAAAAAATATCTCTTTGGGTTTGAGACTTTAGTCTTTGCAACTTTAGGGATCTTATCTATTCACGACTTGTAACACTCCAAAGAGAAAGGAAAACTTGAAATCGCATCATATGACCCCTTTAATATTATTATATAGTATATAAATAAAACTAAAATATCTCAGATATGAATATAGTGATCTTTCAGTACAGTGGGATTGAAATCTCAGAGTATCAGTGTACTAGGGACAATCACAGTCATTTTTGTAGATTTACCCCTGTGGTACCGGATGCTCACACTACACTTGACTGCATGTGTGTAATGATACTGTCAGTGCAATTTGCAAGTCTGTCAAATTGGCTGGAAATATTGGGCGATACAGAAATATGCATCATCAGAATTGTGGGTACGATAATTTCATCTTCCTCTAGTTCTGACTGCAGTAGATTATAATGGAAAGCATCTCTGTGGACTCATGTTTGAACAATTTGTTATGAGGAAATGCAGTTTAATTTCTCTCAGACAGAGCAGAGCAGTTCTGTGCATTTTGAAATGTGGGTTAGGTCTGTTTCTTTACAAATCATAGAGCTCAAAAAATTTTTGGTATCTGGATGAAATGCATGATGGGAATTTCACTTTTTATGATTAGTGTTTATTCCTTTAAATAAAAATTTAGCTTTCCCTTTCTCTCTCTCGTTGTCTTTTGGCAGTTTTCTTTTTAAACTCTCTCTTCTCTTTATATCTAAAGAACAAAAGCAAAAAGAGCTGGAGGCAGCAGGAGGGTGTTACAGGACATGCCTTTTTTCATCTTTCTTTGTCTGTTTTGCCTTCATCCAGATCCGGAGTACCGTGGAGAACAGTTTTGTTGGCTGGGAGCTGGAAGAGGTGCTGCTGTTGGACATGTCAGTAGATGATGGCGACTCAAAGATCCAGAACCAGATGAAGAAGCTCCAAAGTCCTGTTATACTACTGTATTGCACTAAAGAAGAAGCCATGACCATTTTCGAGGTGGCACATTCTGTCGGCCTCAGTGGTTATGGTTACACCTGGATTGTACCATCTCTGGTGACAGGGGATGCAGATAATGTACCCAGCGTCTTTCCAACAGGTAAGAAGAAATATAAATAATGTGTATATATATATATATATATATAGTATAAATGTTATAATAAAATTTTCTTCAAAATAAAATTCTCGCATAATTCAGTGATGCATGCTATTTCTTTGCTATTGTTTGTGAAATTTACTAGCAATTTCTGACTGAAAATAGATTCTACACCATTTTTGTCAGTGTATCAAAATATTTCAGATGATATAACACTTACTAATCTTTGTAAAATCTCGAAATTATATACATTTTCATACTGCACATTATTATGCTGTAATGCCTAAATTCACTTTAGCATTTCAAACGATTGATTGTAGTGAAGTTGATTATCTTGTGACTAAATTGTATAGAATTTTCATTTTTGATTACTGGCCATCAGTATTTAGCAGCTTGTCAACATTGCTCAGAATTTTAAATTACATTAAATTTTATATTATAATGTTTTTATTATTATTATTATCTATAATATGTAGAAGTGTTGTTATTGTTAACTAAAACCACAACTGTTACTATTAAAAATAGTTTTCGGTATATAAAAGTCTGAAATAAAATAAAATATTAACAAAAATTAGATGAAAACTTAAACCTAAAAAATGTAAATTAAAATGAGAAACACTGCTTTGTCAACTAGCTGAAATAAACAGGCTTACATTTAAGTACTAAAATTAATAAATAAATCAAAATAAATAAAACTATAGAAATATTTTGTCACAGTCTCTCGGGGAGGAAGGAACGAAGGAGACGCTGGAGAATACGTAAACTAGAATTTAGATACAAAATAAACAAAGGAATACAAAACACAGGAACTTCAGGGATGACATTTAGCAGACAGAATGACATTCAACAGTAGACAGAAAACACTGGGAAACACAGGGTTTAAATGCTCAGAAACTAATGGGACACACATGGGAACAATACGAACTAAATGGGGAACACCTGGACTCAAATAATAACAAATGAGGACAGGACACAGGAAGAACCAAATAAGGGCAAACAGGAACATACATGTGACATATTTAGCTACAAAAACTACACATTTTATATTTCAGATGATTGTATTTACTGAATTTACACTTCCTGTATCTCAGGTTTGATCTCTGTTTCCTATGATGAGTGGGACTATGGACTGGAGGCTCGAGTACGTGATGCTGTAGCCATAATCGCCATGGCAACCTCCACAATGATGCTGGATCGGGGTCCTCACACGCTGCTTAAGTCTGGATGCCACGGCGCACCTGACAAGAAAGGCAGCAAGTCAGGAAACCCCAACGAGGTGCTGAGGTGAGTCAGGCTTAGCGGGGTGCCAGGGTTCAAACACTGACATCTGGGGTCTGCAATCATACACGTAAACAGGCAGCCTTGCCAGCATACATGCACTTGCAACACCTGCTCAGGAGGGTTTCCGAACTAATTTTTAGTAGTGTTTTGAAAAGGGTAAAGAGCCCTAGACAGGTGTACAATCATACTGTACACGCATACATACATACATACATACATACACACCATGGTTGGCTGCTGTTAGATGCTGTAGGTACTGTAGGAGACAGATCTTTACATTACCACTTGCGTACTTTGGGATAATGGGTGTTATTTTCATGATAACATTTTTATCCGGGATTTTCTTGGTGATCTGACATACAGTACTGTTCAAAAGTTTGGGGTCAGTGAGTTTCATTTATTTTTTATTCAGTAAAGTATCAGGATAGACATTTATATTGTTACAAAAGATTTCTGTTTTAAATAAATGCAGTCTCTATTCATCAAAGAATCCTAAAAACCACATCATGGTTTCCAAGCATTTTCAACATTAATATTAAGAAATGTTTTTTTGAGCAGCAAATCAGCATTTTAGATTGATTTCTGAAGGATTGTTTGACATTGAAGACGCTGAAATTCAGCTTTACCACCACAGGAACAAATGACATTTTAAAGTATATTTAAATAGAAAACTTTCATTATAATTTGTTGCAATTTTCACAATATAATTGTTTTTACTGCATTTGTAAACAAAAATGCAGCTTTGGTGAGCACAAGAGACTTTTTTCATAAACTTAAAAAAAAAATCTTACCAGCACCAAAGTTTTGAATGGTGGTGTATATTACTGAAATATAAGCTTGTTTTGGAGATTTATGTTTTTACCCATTTAAGTTTTGGTTTTTGGTTTACTCAGTTTTCAGTGAACTATTATGCTTAAACATCATGTTTGTGTTCAAAATATATTAATATATAGGTTAATTTAAAAAATCAATTTAATAAAATTATCGTAATCAGGTTATCAATATTGATGATACTGGCCATTATTGGTAAAAAAAAAAGAAGTAAATTTCCAAACATTAATTTTGCCATTAATTGTAATAATCCAGTGAGGTTTTTGTCTGACAACAGCCAGTGCTCCACACAGAGATCTGATCAGATCATCATCCAGTCTATCTGGAATGTCATGAAGAAACAGAGCAAACTGAGACAGACTAAATCCAGAAGAACTGTGGAAACGTCTCCAAGACGCTTTTAGAAACCTACCTGCAAAGCTCCCTGAAAAACTATGCACAAGTGCACCGAGAGCGAAAGCTGCTTTAAACACAAAGGATGGTCACACCAAATGTTGATTTAATTTAGTTAATAGAAGTTAACTGATAAAGAAAATCTATCTATGATATTATTTTTGACAGCATCCTCATTTAGCAGCATTTTTACATAAGTGCCTAAAACTTTTAACAGTACTGTAGCTTTGCAGGTAGGTTTCTTGAAGGTCCAATTCTCACTATTAACAAACCGTTAACTATGACTTTTGCCTCAATAAACTCAATAAACTCATTTGCTGCTTATTAAAGCAAGGTAGTTGTTAAGTTTAGGTATTGGGTAGGATTAGAGATGTAGAATATGGTCATGCAGAATATGTGCTTGCTTTATAAGCACTAATAAACAGCCAATATGTTAATAATAGTGTTAATAAAGAATAACAATTTGGTCCCTTTGTAAATTCTCTTTGCCACCTTGAAGAATTCTCAGTTACTTTAAAGTGTAGATAGACGGCCGGGAAGTAAGAAAACACACAGTCAAATGTATCCTCAATACTTCAATTTATTCATAGAAATACAGATATTATATAGGCATATGTCGAGGGGAGTTTCATCCTCTTAACCAATGAGGATATGAATAACATACACGTAGGATCGTTGGCCAAGAACATGTGTTTATATAAAATAGCCACATGTACAGAAAAACATGGACATATTAGGAATAGACTTTTGCGAAGAATGCTGAACTGTCTTCATGGTTTCATCACGAACTCCTTTACCCTTGTAGTCCTAACATTCATGTCTTTATTGGGGACATTTGAACCAAGAGAAGCTAATGTATACATTTAAGCATGCATACTTTGCATATAAGTAAGACATATTTAAAACATAATATCAAGAGAGAGAGATGGATATAGAAGGAGGAATTCAGAGAGAATGCGTTGTATATATAAGAATGAGAGAGAGGGAGAAAAAGGAGGGGTAAGACCTGTCTGGACTCAACAGAAAGACAGAGAGTGTTTTCTAACAAATAGGCATGCTAACAAGCAACTGCTTAATAGAGAGAATTGGTGTGTTACTACCAAGGGGCATCTGATCATTTGTGATTGGATCAGCTGATTTGGACCTAATACCAGGTGTAAAGCGAGTCGTAGATTGAGCAGCATTCTATTATAGCCATACTGTACCTGTAACACCTCTTGCAGAAAGAACGAGTGAGAGTGACAAATGGATAACAAAAGAGAAAAAGAGAGTGCATTATTGGTAATGTGGGTCTGCTGTAGGTCCTCGCTGAAGCACCTTTCACTTTTCTTTCCCCATTATGTCTCCTCTGACATTCAGCCCGCACCCACGTGTCTGTACCGGCCCGGCTGTTATTTTCATCTTAGAAACATAAATATCCATCGTAATACAAAAGTGAGCTTTTCATCTGAACTTGTCTGTTCTCTCTTGTACTGTTATTTGACATTTAGTATTGAGGGGCACTGATTCCTAAGTATTAATTTGCGTTTAGGCTCGGTCACACTCTCTTTTAGCCAGTCATTTGATCTGCTGGTGAGGAGTTAATTGAATGCTCGAGGCAGAGTAGGATTAGGAAGCCGAATGGAACAACAGTGGGAGCCCAGCCTCTCTCTCTCTCTTCTGCATCTAGTTTTCAGCCTTTCTTTCTGTCTGCCTGTCCCCTCCCTTGATTAACTCTAAGCATATGCAAACATGGCAAAGGAGGATAATTGTAACACTTTTGGGTTTTTGCTCATTGATCTAGGGAGCATTTAGACTAAAGCTTACAATTTTGCCACACACATTGTTGACCTATCAGCAATCATTACCTGTGCCAATTAAATCTATTACCTAATCAAACTGGATAACATTACTCACAAGTGCGGTGTTACATTTACTCACCTAGACTCAGTAATTGTAGGCTCTCTAATACGTATTTTAATGTAATAAACTTTAAACCTCAGAGACAATCTTGAAATGCAACAGTAACAAATTAAAATCTACCTCTCATCCAGACTTTAATATGAACAGTTGTGGCACACGTATGCTGGGTTCCCTCAGTGTATTCATCACGTGCCAATTTCAACAGAACAGACGTTGGACTCACCTTTCCTCTTGTTTAGAGGAGGCTGTTATAATTGTGTACTGTATACTGTACCGTATAGGTAATTGCAGGCTTTTTATAATATGATATTAGTGTCACGGCGCGGTCAGGAAAGACACACCGTGTGAGCGAGGGTTTTGGGTCCAAGTGCAGGTTTATTTACTGCCAGGGAAAACAAAGGGAAAAAAACAGAACATAAACAGAGCTGAGACTCTGAAACAGGCTAGAAACACGCAAATGGGCACTGATGCAATACGGCCAACCACTGGCTTGCATCAGTCCCGGAACAGACACTAGAAACACTCGTAACGCTCGTGACTACAAACAAACAGTAAACTCGTGACACAACTCAACCAAACATTAGTTATCCGCCCCGAGTGGCGTGGGGAAGGCGCCTAAATAGTCCTCATGACGGGCCACAGCTGTGTGAGAGTGAGTGTGTGCACAGGTGTGTGGAGTGCAGGTGATGGAGTCCCGGATGGGCGACAGCTGTGTGTGTGTGTGAGTGGGTGCCCAGGTGTGTGGTGTCAAGGTGACGGAGAAAGAGTCCGGGAGGATGGGAGATGGCGACCTCTGGTGGTGAGAGGGAGAACACCAGACGCCAGCCCCTGACAATTAGGCCCAAAAATCAGAATCAGAATCATAAAGAATTTTATTGCCAAGTGTGTTTGCACACACAAGGAATTTGTCTTGGTGACATGAGCTTCCAGTGCAGACATGCATATAATTTGACATACATATCATATCATACATAAAATAAAATGAAATATAACACTAATGAAAAATAGCCTACATTCAAAATGATAAATGATTTAATTTATTTTAAACACAATTATGACAATAAAGATAAAAACTAGAATTTTAACTAATAGATGCCATATTTAAATTTTTTGTCATAATTCACTCACCATTGATCATGTTGTTCCAAAACTGTATGACCAAACCTGCATATTTCCACAATATATTTTTTCACCAAATATTAAGCACAACTGTTTTCAACATAATAACTACTTGAGCAGTAAATCAGCATATTAGAATAATTTCTGAAGGATCAGGTGACACTAAAGACTGGAGAAATGATGCTGAAAATTCAGCTTTGCATCACAGAAATAAATTACGTTGTAAAATATATAAATAAGAAAACATATGGTAATGATATTTCTGTCAGGATTCTGGATGGTTCTGTGTCACGTTTTGCCCGTTTCTGGTCCTGTGTTTTCTTATTTGGTCTTATTGCTGTCCTTTTTAGTTTGATTATTAGTTGATTCCTCGCACCTGTTTGCCCCTCGTTATCCAGTCCTTATAAGCCCCAGTCTGTTCAGTTTGTATCAGCCCTAGCCCACCGATGACGGAGAGCCAATTCCCGGCACGATCAGCGAGCCAGTGCAAAGCCGTGCGACTGAGCAGAGGATCGCCCCGGATGTAGAGCTCAACCACGAGGGAGGCAGAGGGTGAGCGGAGTATGGCGCGGTGAAATTGCCAAACCGAAGAGGAGGGGGATCCAATCCCCGAATTAATATGTGAATGCCCGGAGACTCACAAATGCTCGCCCTCCCACCCGCTCCTGCCTCCTCCACCGCTGTCGTCTGGCAGCCCCTCTGCTCGCCTTCAGCTCACCATCATTACGGTGTGAGCTCCGTGGGTCTGCCATCCTCCA